TATTGTAGTTTGGTCCTTGCTATTTATGTTTTGGACTGAGTATGGTGAAAAAAGTCTGTGTGGCGCATTTTATTAGTGGCCTCTTTTAGAGGCCAAATTACTTTTCCGTACACACCGTGTCAAGGGAAAGTATAGGAATTGGTCCCGAAAACGTTTTTCGCAAAATTAGCTTAGATCATCATAAAAACTCATGAAACGCGTAGAAAACCACTTTTGAGACACTTTTCCGTTCGTGTGCCGTCGTCGTTGTCGTCGTTGTCGTTGTCGTAGCTGTTTGTAAACACGATAACTCAAAAAATAATTGAGATAATCCAAATCTGAAAGTCCCAAAAGTTGTGTATCCAATAAACTTAGTTTAAGTTCGAAGATGAGCTATTTTCGATTTGACCCTGGGGTACTTGCCCTAAGAAAAACCTCAAAAAATTGACACTTTTGTATGGGATGTACCTGTAAATCGACTCCGATTGGCTTCAAACTTTCTGGTGGGATAAAAATAAAATTCTGAAATTTTGAAACCAATCGGAATCGATTTACGGGTACCTCCCATACAAAATTTTTGAAATTTTGACTAAATTACCTATTTTTGGACAATTTTGTATGGAAGGTACCGTTAATCGATTCTGATTGGCTTCAAATTTTCTGAGGTTTCATTTTTTGGAGAAAAAATAATATTCTGAAAGTTTCATGTTGATCGCATTTGCAGAAGTTTGATTTTTTGTCCTCAATTTTTGTCGAAATTTTCTTGGGAAAAATTGAGGGCCAAAATACAAACTTCTGCAAATGCGATCAACATGAAACTTTCAGAATCTTATTTTTTCTCCAAAAAATGAAACCTTAGTAAGTTTGAAGCCAATAGGAATCGGTTTACGGGTACATCTCATACAAAATTGTCGAAGTTTTAGTCACAACCCCTGCGCCACACTAACAAAATAAAGTAAAACACGAATTTGCGATGAGCGCATTCAGTGAAGTTCATTTCAATTCTTTACGTCGTTAGACGCACTCATGAACGCGACAAATTGAACGCATCAACAATGTTCCGTAATGAAAGAAACATTTTTTACTTATAAAATTGATGTTTATCACGTGCTACGCTCTCACAAAAATCAATTTTGCACATTCGTGACATTTTTATTTTTTTTGTCTACTTTACGTTTTATTAACAAATATAAAAAAGATCCAATAATACATTGAAAGATCTGTGTCACAACTTTTGACACTTGTCTCGTAGCGTTAGAAGTGAGCTGTCAGACGCTTAGATGCAGGACCTTCGGTTTTAGTTAAAGTGACCGATTTTCACTTTATTTTCATTATTATATTTTCACTGCCTTTATTTCAAGAAAATTCACAAAAAATAACCAAAAGTACCTACGGACAACGCAGGCCAACGGTACGGAAAAGTTCGGGATTACCAATGTAATTCTTTTTATTTCACTTTAATTTTTGTAAAAACGCCTCAATTAATGTTATTAAAACCAATAAATCTTGGTTTACACATCTCAAAACTCAGCTACGGTACTAAACATATCTTTCACAGAACAGTAAAAACAATGGTCCAGTTTTGATAAATTTGGCGCCCAAAATATATGACATTTCTGAAGCTCGATTCTGATTAAATTGTTTTTTAACGATTTTTTAAAGTCATATCATTGTTGAATGGAGTTGTCTATACAATCAGTGCCCCTAGCTGTCATTTTAAATTATAAAAATCAATAATTGTCACAGCCATTTTTGCAAAATTGGCCAAAGTTGGCCATGATGGCCAAAAACGGCTTATTGGCTATATCTCGAAAACGGTGCGGAATTCTGCTCTGGTTGTTGGGGCGAACTTTTGGCTCAATCTGAGATAAAAACTGTTAAAAATAAATAAAACGTGAAAAATTGGATTTAAAGAGGTAAAACGAACTCACAATGTCTATGGAACGATGTGATATGTGGCGCAACTAGGTGATGGCCGCAGAAGTTCTGTCAAAATTCATACACAACCAACTTGACATTCAGTTACATAGTTCAGCTAACCCATAGTACATCCATCCATGGGCTAGGTGCACCACCAGCGTGAAAAAATATGACAGTATATGATTAATACACAGCATATTGTGAGTTCGGGTTCAAAAAGCAAGATTTTCACATGACATTTTGATTTTTTGTAAATTCAAAAATGGACCTATTTTCGTGATTGGATTTCACAATTTTAACGCGTTGCTTTTTGAAATATCTCTTCATGGCACAAAATGGTAAAGATTGACGAATAATTTTGACGTATTAGTTTGACAGATCGGGTAGCCTGTCATGATTTACGATAGGGTTACTTTTGTGCGTCGCCATTGAAACACCCTTTAGATGAAGAATTCGCGGTTTCCCTCTAGCAATTTTGTGTGTGTGTTCATATTTTCTTCAAATATTATTGCTTTTACTGAGAATGAAACGATTTTATTACAAAATATTTGCATGAATACAAAGACCATCCAAATGATGCCAATAGAAAAATTGGGCGTATTTGTACCGCATTTATTTTGTCGAAAACGGAAATCATCACGAATGCCCATTGTGTGTATGAGGCCCCATATGTTTATGTGGTAGCTGGTACGAAAGTTGTATCAGATGCAAACCAGAAAATTAAAATCAAAGTCGAAAAAGAGAACATTGCATGGCACCCTCATTATAGTCGATTAATTTTTGGTGCATTTGATATTGCCAAAATTACACTGAAAACGCCGTTAGAATTCAGCGATACCATTGGCAGTATCGAAGTCGTGAATAAGGATTACAAATTGAATAACCCATCAGAAGTGGTCACTGCCTATGGATATGGCGTGTTGAAGAACACCGGACCATCGATATTGAGGCGTTGCGATGCGAACTATATGTCTGATGTCCAACGAGGCAAAACATTTATGCCAAGTCAGACTTTGTACTTTACCACTGGTGAAGCTACGAATGATGGCGAAATTATTACACCTGGCGATTCGGGTGGACCAGTCGTTTCAAAAACAAATGGCAAAATAGTGGGCATAACAACGGGTCATAAAACAACAGGTGGCCGCGGAATGTTCCTTCCAATTAGTCTATTTCTTGATTTTATTCATGACCCAAAGGTATCTTATCACAATGCCCCAATTTTTATTCTCAACAACGCGGACAAAATCATTTTTTGCATTTATTTCAGAGCGTGAAATCAATTCCACCTCCGCTTACACCTAACGAAGCTAAATTTGTAAGCTATTTAACGGTACCCGGAAGTAAGTGTGCCTGTGCATTCGAATTTCGAACCAAATCAAACCGTTTTTAACGTCACTTTTTTCATTTTAAATAGAGGAGAGGCAAGAGTGGAGATTTTTCATGATTCATAAACCAATACTCATCCTGGGATATTTTTTTATTACAGAATTTCTTACTGCTTTCGAAGAAGATTTTGCCGATGCTAACGAAACTACTCAACTAAAATTTAATGCAATCATTTTGTCGAAAACGGAGATTTTGACCTGTGCGCATAGTGTGCTCGGCGCCCCATATGTCTACGTAACCGTTAATAAACTATCAAGAAATGCGACAGAACTTAAAGTCACTGAAGACCAGATAGAAATTCATGAGGAATACGCATTGTCGGGGCTCGCATTTGACATTGCCAAGATTACACTTGAAGAACCGTTGGAGTTCAACGATAACGTCGGCAGCATCGATTTGGTGGACAAAGATTACAAAATGAATGACCCGTCCGAAATGGTCACTGTTTATGGTGATATGATATTGGATGGAACAATGAGAACGAGGCGTTATGATACAAAGTATTTGGATGGCGCCAAATGCAAACCGATATTGGGCGCTGTATTTGATGCAAATCATTTGATGTGTTACACTTTAGATGAAAGCATGGGAACTCCTTCTACGTTTGGAGGTCCAATGATTTCGAAAAAGAATAACAAACTCGTGGGCATGACCATATTTCATTCGGATGGTAAGCCAGTTGTTTTTCAACCGATTGCACCGTTGCTTGATTGGATCCGGAAGCCAAAGGTGAGACGTAATCAAAGAAGAAGAATATAGGCTTGAAAGAAGGGGTTCTAGGCGCCTGAAAAAGCTGAATACCATCTCTCTTTTTGTTCTTGTCATTTGATGTTCAACATAAGAACCGAATAAATTTGAACATTTGAGAAAAATGCATTTTATTTTTCATTAGCCTATGCGCAGTTATATGATTATCTGAAATAATTGCGATATATATTATAACGAGGTTTTTATACAAACTTCCCATGTGGACGGCCGCCACACAGGCAAAAATGGAGAAAAAAGTGTAAAAAAATGTCAAAACTATGATTATGATTTTGCAATCATACAATTGACACCCATAGAACGAATGAACAACTTATGAGCTCTTTATCCATAAGTGAGACGGAAAAAACTTCGAGCCGAAAACAGACAAATATAGCTGCGAGCAATGCGTCACTGTTGCTACTCAGCATTGAGCGGAAAAGACGTTTTTGCATTTTTCTCGCTACTGAAGATAGATAACGATTAGGAATTGGGTGTCTTCGGCATTGTTGTAGGAAATAAAATGAACCACGAATAATATATCAATGATTCACAAAATTCGAAAGGGAATAATGAAAACTGAATATCATGTCAACAGCACAAGCAACCATAGATATCCGACGAGTACTAACGCAAGGCCGCGTTTCGAAAGAACACGTACCAATCTTGGACTCAAAAGCATTTACCGTAATTGCACTGAGCTCTATTACGAACATGCCAACTAATTGCCTACTGAATGTTCTCTTTACACGTTTAAAAAGCGACTCAAGGAAATGATCCTTATGTGATCGTTCGTGCAGTCATTTCTCTCCTAATTTATAATAACTAACGCCCACTAACTCTCTTTCTTTTTCTCTTCAAATTTCCTTAAAATGTAATGAGAATGTGATGATATTGTGTAATGAATATAATGGAAAAAAAAATTGCAATGTTGTGCCCTGAGTAATGTGGCCATAATTTGTATAGTAATTTAAATAGTAGATCTCAACCATTGTACAACTAGATGTAAGCATGAAGAAACCGAATAAATAATAATAATAATCCGTCAGAAGTTGTAACTACCTATGGTTATGGGGTAGTGCACGAACCAAATTTATTAAGACGTTGTGATGCAAAGTATATGTCATCTAAGCCACCAAATCGGGCGGTGTTCTTCATGGCCGGTGGAGATACGCCGGATGGTGAAATTTTTGAACCACCTGGCGATCCTAGCGGACCGGTTGTCTCAGAAAAGTATGGCAAAATCATGGGCATAAACCAAGGTGTAAATGGAACGTCAACAGGTGGTCGCGGAATCTTTCTTCCCATTTCCCTCTTACTTGATTTCAGAGATGACTTTACCGCACTCAAGTGCGCTACAGCGCACCCGAGTATTTCTGTTGTTTTTTCGTTCTATTTTAGCTTTTTGGCCAGGATTTTTTTTAAATAATATTTTGTGTAACATAACCAAAAAGAGCTTACATTTTCTACCCCCGGTATTCGCATTGAACGATGCCGATGTGTTGAGGGCATTGCTGTCGATTAATGTGAACAAAGGAGCTGGACCGGATGGTATTTCGCCGAAACCACTGAAAAATTGTGCGCATTCATTGACAAAACCATTGACAAAGTTGTTCAACAAGTCACTGCAAGCGGGAATTGTGCCAAACATATTGAAAAACTCGACAATAGTACCGATTTTTAAATCTGGGAAAAAATGCGTTGCATCGAACTATAGGCCAATTGTGATAATACCGACGATAGCAAAAGTGTTTGAAAGTATTGGGTACAATAAAATTCAAGCATTTTTGAATGGCAAAATCATCCAGAACCAGCATGGTTTTGTGAAAAATCGGTCAACTTCAACGAATTTGCTGCAAATGGTGAACTACACCATGGATTCAATGATAGCGAAATGTCAAACTGATGTATTGTACACTGACTTCGAAAGGGCATTCGATCGAGTCAATCACAAGAGACTTCTGCAAAAGCTGGTGAGCTTCGAATTTGGGCGCGGGCTTGTCAAATGGTCCCATGCGTATTTGACATCACGCACACAGTTTGTTGGAATCGGCAACAGAAAGTCACGGACTTTCACCGTCTCATCGGGAGTGCCTGCTGGAAGTATCTTGGGACCTTGTCTCTTTATTATTTTTATTAATGATATTGTTGATTTTGTTCCTTATGCACTTGTTTTGTTGTTCGCAGATGATTTAAAACTCATATTGAGAATCACGTCTCCGAACGATACCCGCTTATTCCAAATGGCCATTGATCAATTGTACGAGTGGTGTAGGATCAACAAGCTCTACTTGAATCTGAAGAAATGTTTCGTTATGACATATGCGAAGAACATCATCATACGGAAATATGAATACACGATAAACAATGGGCAGCACAAATTCGATAGAATTGAGTCACACAGAGACTTGGGTGTCATTTTTGACGTGAAACTCACATTCGCCATTCACATTGATACGACAGTAGCTAGCGCACACGGTGCATTAGGTTTTATTAAGCGAACACTGAAAAACAAGTTTACTATAGAATCAGCAAAAATGTTATATTATTTTTATTTTTTATTTTTTTTATTTTTATTAAACACCGCCAAGCTCTGGCTGAATATAATGTGGGTTTTGATTGAGGTTTGGCCGGAAAAGAGTGCAAGACTGTTACATATTTAAAATAATAAACAATTAGTAGCAATAGGTTTCGACAACTATCAGTTCTCGCCTCGTTAAAAACCTGGCTCTTTTCGTACATCATGCGATATTCACAATAGTAGGAACATGAAAACGAAAACAGTCATACAACCAAGATGGAAATGCTTGATATTAGTCTATAATAAACGGTCCAGGATAACCTTTGGTAAACGTTTCCAAAGGGACAAAGGCTATGTGAAGCGTTAATTGTTACGCGTTAAATTTAAGACTTTGAGACTGCAAAAGTCGTCACTCAATTTATCAGATAGATAAATTGATGAGAAGTTTTACGTCGGTTAAGGCAGATCCATGTTGATTGCAGAGTGCATTGAGTTGACATGGACTAGATAATTTGATGCTAAATGGTAAATAATTCAAAATTGACTTCAAAGATAAGAATATTAACTCGCCAACTCGTGGATGGCTACAACAAAGCACAAAATCAAAAAAAATAAAAATTTACAATAAACAAGTGTAAACATCACAGATAAGTATCATCCTTTCAATACACTAAAAGAATGTATGGAAAAAATTCGTCAGTCTTTAATTATTGATTTTTGTGTGAGATGAGTTGACTCCCAATGAGGAATGTGTACAAATCTGTAACAATTTTGTAATGAAAATGTACACAGTGTGTGCACAAACGGTGTACACTTTCATACAATACGCGTTACAAGAATACCATAATTCCTCATTGGGCTTCCACGTGGGTGGTTGGAACCTGGGACAGCCCCGCTCATGTTTGTTGCAATCAGAAGCAACCAAATGGCACCCGGGCAGTATGCTTTGTCCTTGGGAATTCGTCCGCTTGGGATCATGGATCAGGTTTAACGGCAACATGAAAATCGAAATTTCATCATTAATGTGGGCAGTATCAAGGTGTTCTCGTAGAGAACACATACAAAAAATTAGGTTACCTGGATGAAAAATTGACTAGGCGGCCAGGTAGTCATTTGAGTTTGCAAAGCGATCCAAAAGTGGTGTCCGTCATTTTGCGAACCGATGATGCAAAATTCGTCTTTGAGGTAGCTGCTGTGAACAGTTCCGGCACCATGTTCGCCATTTTGCACATTTGAGGAACTGGAGCCTCGCGCACCAACTTCATGTGCTTGTCATTGACCTTGAATTGTTCACTGTGCCTCAACGAACGGCCATGATGAAGTGAGACTTGGTCTCTAACTGTTGGACAGTTAGCGTTACCGTTGATAATGTCGTAAAAGAAATTCAATGACGCGTTGACACGTCGACGGCGAAGACTAATCATGTTCAAGTCTGACAATCGCTGCTCGTACGGTGTGATTGAGTATTGGTTTTGCACGGATGGGTATTCTCGACGAGCGTACATAGTGAATTGGCGTTGCACGGATTATATTTTGTCGCTGTGGATTTTGTGGAATGGAAGCCATACCATGGCGCAGTAATCGAGGTGAGATTGAACCAATGCAAAATACAGCGACTTAAGCGTGGTAAAGTCGTTGATATCGTGGCAGAAACGTTTGACAAAGCCAAGTGCCGCCGTTGCCTTCGAAGTGACCATGTCGATGTGTTTGGCAAAAGATAGCTTTCTGTCAATTAGGACACCCAAGTCCTTGTGTTCAGTCACTTTGTCGAAGGTATGGTCGCCATAGGTGTAGTTTGTATCCCAGTGCTGACGTTTCTTGTAGATAGATAGCACTGCACATTTATTGAGGTTAAGGTGCAGCCGATTCACGTCACACCAATGTTTAAGTTTGTCGATGGCTTGTTGCAATATCTCCGAATCTTGCTGAGATTTGATGACTTTGGCAATTTTGATATCATCAGCAAACAGTAATATCATGATGTCCGGGGGGATTTGATCCATGATGTCGTTGATGAATAGCAGGAACAGTGTTGGGCCAAGGTGGCTCCCCTGTGGGACACCCGACGACGCTGTAAAATTGTTCGACTCACTTGCTCCGTGCTTGACAAATTGAACGCGATTTTCCAGGTACGACTCAAGCCATGTCAGCAAATTTTGAGGCAGATCAAATGACCTCAATTTTTGAATCAAAATGCTGTGATCTACTCGATCGAAGGCTTTCGTAAAGTCTGTGTCACGGACATCAACTTGAGCTCCAATGTTCAGGCCACTCTGGGCGTAGTACACAAACTCGGTTAGGTTTGATGCTGTAGATCGTCCTTTCATAAATCCATGTTGGTTAGGCGAGATGCGATCACGAACTGTTTCAAGCAATTTTACGTTGACGAGGTGCTCGAAGAATTTAGCTATTGTTGGTAATTTTGCTATGCACCTGTAGTTTTCAATGTCCGATCTGGCGCCCTTTTTGAATATGGGTGATAGACTCGATCGTTTCCATTCGTCGGGAAAAATGCCAGATGAAAGCGACTCATTGAAGATCTTAGTCAACGGACTAGCAAGCGTTTGGGTACACTCCTTTAAAATCAAAGGATGAATGCCGTCAAGTCCAACACCTTTCTTGGTATTGACCTTCGTCATTTCAGTCATGACAAAATTGAGGTCAAGCTGGAAACAAGAGGTGTTCTCAGACTGAGGTGACGGTAGATTATTTGGTGTCGTAGATGTGGAGTAATTGCTCCCGAAGAAGTCCGCAAATAAATTTGCTTGCTCTGGTTCGCTGGATGTCTTGGTGTCACCGAATCGCATTGTTTTTGGTATGTTATCAGTGCTCTTTTTAGAGTTTACATATTGCCAAAACGAAGAAGGATCACTTTTCAAATTTGATTTCATTTTGTCGACGTACTGATTATATAATTCAGTGTTTTTTGCACTGAATTCCTCGTGCAATTCTTCAAATGGCTGCTTGTCATTGGTCAGCTCCCAGTAATCCCAGGCTTTTTTCCTTAAGTTCTTGAGGTGCCGAAGTTCTTTGTTTTTCCATGGGCATTTTTGGTTGTTCTTGCGGACATACGTTGGAACCGTACACTGAATAGCTTCCGGTAACAATTATGCATTAGTTTGATCGAAGTTAGAGTATGCTAGTGTAGTGTGGCATCCATACCACCAGTCTTATATTGAAAAAATTGAATCAGTTCAAAAAGACTTAGTAATCTGGGCACTTAGAGGAATGTACCAAAGAGATGTTAATTACAGGTTGCCATCGTATCAATTAAGATGTGATAATTTGAATATTCAACCACTTTGGAGGCGGCGTATAAATGCCTCAGTATTATTAATCTATAATCTCCTCCTAGAAAAATTGATTTGCACAGCACTCAGAGAAAGAATTGTGTATACAAGACGATTAGACAACAGAAACCAAAGAAATGTAAGAAATAGAGATTTAGTTAGAATTGAAACTTATGGCACGGACTATGCTCGTAATCAGCCATTTATTGTAGCGTGTAGAAATTTTAACAAAGTAAGGCAATCGTTCTTAGACTCAGCATCAAGGCAAATATTTAGTAGAAACATGTTCAACTTAGACAACAGTATTTTCGAAGAATTGTATGTAGTGAATAGTAGTTAACACGGTCAGGGGCCGCAGAACGCCACTTCGAAGCCATTAGGGCTGGTAGCTAGGCCGTTCGATTCGGGAGTGTCTCACTACTTGTGTAAAATTCAAATTGTAAATGAAATGTATAATGATATTCAGTCTGTGATTAGACAGTGAAATAAATAAATTGTGTGGTCATATGCACCTAGTAATTATGCGCATTGGCTCAATTTCACAAGATTACGCAATTTCTACTTTTGGGGATTTTTTCTTCATATTTTACTAATATAAATGTGGTTTTTCAAAAACTGTTCTTTGTTATGTTACACAAAATATTGATGCAAAGTTTTTTTGACCAAAATGGTAAAGTATAACGAAGAAAAAAACAAAAACAACACAAATACTCGGGTGCGCTAAAGTCATCTCTGCTTGATTTTATCAATGATCCAAAGGTAGATTGAATATAATGAACTTATCCTAACATTCCTTTTAATTTCATTGCTGAACTTATTGCAGAGCGTGACGGCGAAGAAGTAATGTCCTCATTGCTTGTTATTTACTATCCATTTCTCTCAACTGTTTTTGTTTCGAATGAGGGTTTTTATGCGGTGAGAAATTCGTTTCTTGCCGTCTTTTTTCCCTGTTATTCCATTTCAAAGTTAAATAGACAATATGCGAGTATATGAGAAAAGTGCATTTCATTTTATTTTCCATTATCGTGGTTAGATAGGGTTGTTGCCAAGCTCATAAGTACTATATACATGTAATTTAACCACTGATTTGTGCAAAGAAATCGAACAAAAATGTGTGAAATGACGAGAAAACGTGTTTTTTAATGCAAATGTCTTACATGATTTCGAGGATAAAAATGGGATTGGCCCAAACCGCCAGTTTATAGGCGGAATGCGAACCATTTTTGTGTTCCTGAAGAGATAGGAGACAGATACTTCACGCAATGTTCTAAAAGATTTCAAGATATTCATTTTTGCTTGAGAAACTGGCCTCCTATTTCTCACCAGGAACGCATATATGATTCCCATGTAATTAAGCGCATTTGGCTAATCCCATTTTTATAATCAACAACACATATATATGTACATGATGAGCCTTCATCACGAATTGAACAAAAAAGTACACTTAAAGTAAATTCATATCATCACTGTGCACTCCAGCATCACATACCCTAAATTCCTTTAGTACATACGTATAGCTGTTGTTTTTTCGTTCCATCTGAACAAACACAAAAGTGGTGTGTTGGGCTAAAGCCGTTTTCGAAAATGATTATTCGTTCATTGTGTGACGTTTCGCTCTTATTAGGAGCATCATCAGGCTGGAGAACAAAAATGTACACAAAAAACAATGAGTAAGTGTTGAAACAATTGACTTGAATCGAATGAATGAGAACTTGTCATCATTTGTTTTAAGAAAAAAGTTTATAAAGATTAATGAACATCATGAAATAAAAATGTATCTAACGTCAGTTGACCACATTTATTGACAAAATTACACCAACAATCACCATATTTTTATATTTTCTGAAAATATGATGGGCAAGCTTTCGTACAATCGTTCAATAGGGGCTCTGGATTTGAGCCGCGTGGCATACGGCCGCTGCGGAAAATTGCCTTTTAGCCGCGGTTATAAGACTGTTTATAGAATTCACTTACAGCCGCTATTAAAAGAAAGAAAAAGAGAAAAATGTACTGGAGGCCGTAAGTCACGCGGCCCAAATCCGAATCGAAATTATTCTCCGATAATGCGTAGATCATGGTTAATTCTTTCATATCGAATCCAAGTTAAAATAAAATAAAGTCAAAACTAGTTTGAGACTCCCGTTCGTACTTTGAACATCGAAATTCTAATGTAGAACAACTGTAATTTTGGAGCAGGGTTCATCGACATCTTTATTTGTATTCATTTTTACCGTTTTAATCATCTTTCTTTCCACATCAAAAACCAGTTCTATCTATTATTTTCAATTTATGCAAACATTCGGCAAATGAAGCGTCTATAAACACATATAAATGAAGGTTTGGACACGAAGAGCATTTCATTCTTTTTAAAATATTTCAACGTATTGAACCATTTTCTTAGAGCTGCGGATAAAAGTAATACAATTATTCAACTAGTGAATATTTCAAAATAATAAAACCAATTGTGGTTAATCCAACAATTGATTTTTATTTCAGTGTTACGATTCTTGACTACAATCTCAATTTATTCATTGATCGTCACCTCTGGAGCTTCGGCAATTGGAGTTTGGAAAGCAATTTCAAATTTTGCATCCGATTTCTATCAGGTACTTCGATGACTTTTGCCATTCTAACGAAATTATGAGTGGCGGTCATAATGTCCCGGACGGACAGCATGCTTCTCTGTTTCTACTATATTATAGCATGCTGTCCGCCCGGGGCATTATGGCCACTACTCGAAATCAATAATGTGTAAAGAGTAAAGTCGTAAGGGAATAATCTCATTCATTTTACTGTGTAAATTGAGGAATCAGCCAAGTCGACAACTGGAAATGTGATCATTTCGCCATTTTTGGTGGCCAATTCACTGGCTCTTCTTCTGCAAGCTGCAAACGGAAATACTTTTGACCAAATCAGAAATGGACTGCACTTGAGCGGTGACAAAACAGCGATAGCAAATCAATTTCTTGAACATTATGGAATGTTGCAACGAGGCATTGGAAGTGCAAGTTTATCGATTGCCAATCAAATTTACGTGCAGCAAGGTAATGAACTAAATAAAACCCTGCAAGAGGTGGCCGTTCAAAAGTTCCAATCGGCAATTGAATCGGTAGATTTCGCGAAAAGAGATGACACAGCTCAAGCAATTAATCATTTCGTCGAGGAGAAAACGCAAGGAAAAATCAAAGAACTGATCCAACCGAATATGCTGACATCTGATTCTGGTATCATTCTATTAAATGCCATTTACTTCAAGGGCGACTGGGAACGCAAATTCAACGAAAAATTCCTCACCAAGCAAAATTTTCATAACAGTGAAACGGAAACGGTTTCAGTTGATTTTATGCACATCGAAGATGAATTCAATTTCGCGTTGTTGGATGATTTAGACGCGGCTGCACTTGAAATGAAAATACGTTAATTCCAACTTCTCCTTTATTATTCTACTACCAAATAATCGTACGGGTATCTTAGGGCTAGAAACGAAGTTGAAACATCATAGTTTAGCATCGATCATTCATAAAATGCGATTAGAGGAAGTTGAGGTCGATATTCCAAAATTTAAATTCGAGTTTGAAATTAAACTCAATGATGTTTTGAAACATGTAAGTAAACCAATGAAAATATGAATTTTCATTTGATTAACCCTTTGATGCACAATTTTTTGTTTTTGAATCATTTTGATATATGTTTTGTGCCACGATAAATAGGGAAAGACCTCATACTTAAATTTTTGAAAAATTGCGTATTTGTCAAGAAAATCGGAAAAGAGTCAAAAGTGTCAAATCACTATAAAAGCTTGAAAAAATTAAATTTCATAAAACTAATGATGCAGAAAGTTAAATTGATGTGTTTTGGTCCTACGAGTCCCAATTTGACAATTGAAAAGAATGTACAAACCCACAAGATAAGAGGAGGAAAAATGTGAAATTCTGCTATAATTTCGCTTTTTTTTTCACAGCAGTACATGAACAGAAAAAACTTTCCATTCAGCTAACCAATTGTAGCCTGTAAAGTATCAAATGAAAGCTAGTTCAATTCCCTACATTTGTTTCCAAACAAAAATGCAAAAATATTTAGTGGTTTCATAGCTATAGCATCTGGCGTATCTGGTTACTTTAGGAACCGATATGTGATGAAGGGTTGAATTAATTGGATTTATTTGTTTAGCTGGGAATAGGCGAAATGTTCACACCAAAAACCGATCTGAGTGGCTTTTTTGAAACTGGCGAATCGTTGCAAGTGTCTGATGTTTTGCATATGGCATTCATCGAAGTTAACGAAGGTGGATGTGAAGCAGCCGGTGTGACAAGTAAGACGTTCTTAAATTATTGGATGAAAATGTTTATTGATTCAAAGTAGTTCTTATATTAATGAATGAACCAAGTAATGGGGCACTCTCGTTCTCGCTACTAAAACATAGTTAGTTTTGAGCTATCTTGTCTAATGTTGTACACTGGTAACACAGAGCTACGTTTACACTTATGTATTATAACTTCATTCATGTTATGTGTAATACATTGCTCGCTACACAAAGGTCGTTAATACATAGATCTGAGGACAAAATGTGCCTTATACTTTAATCACTAATTTCTGTATCGAATTTCATTTATTCAAGAATGTTTTTATTTTCTAGGTTACAAAGTTGTTACTCGCAATAATCCAGTCAAGTTCCGCGCGAATCGACCATTCTTATATTTCATTTGGGATAACAATAGTAAAACCACTGTTTTTAGTGGTCGCATTACAGCGCTCAATTAATTATTTGAATGTTTGTGTTGGTCTTTCAATAGAAAATATAAAATACCATTCAAAAAAGAACAGAAAATTGTATCAAAATGATATTGAATAAATCTGAAGAAAAATAAATATTCTTTGCTTTTTTGTAGCATCCCGTGTGGAAAATTTTTCGTTGATTAATTTGGGACATTTTGACTGACTAGAAGTGATTGTCTCGAACTAAATAAACAACTGTAGTTAACTTTATACACTTTCACACAAATGTTCAAATGTTTTAATCACAAATCAGTCTTAGTCAAAATGTCCCAAATAAATCGACTGACTGAAAGAATGGCTGAACAAGATTATCTCCATACAAAATACTTGATTTCAATCAACTTAGCCAGTTTCAGTGTACCACAACATACAGCTACATATAACTGAGTGACTTGTGAAGAACACAACAAAATTTCGCGGCTAAATGCGATTTGAGCATTTGAAAAATGTTTCTACTCAAAAAATTTAACATAATAAAGAATAAATAATGTGATCTCATCTGCGAATGGCATGGCCATTTGATTTGTAATCGAATCTCGGAACAGCTTTGATAAATTGTCTGGTCGATTAAATTGAACTTCGTCGAAACCGCTGATTATCCAATCGTAAATTCGGTGAAAAAGTCAGAAAACACACGTCTCGCTACGCGTCAATATGTTTACACATAGGGCTCACTTATCGCTCATATGCAGATTGAACTCGCACTCATCGAATGTAGAACACCAGATTGGAATTCCCAGCCATCTATATGACACGAACGGAAAGCAGTGACGCAATGAGCGGGAGTGCAGAATTTTGTTTACGATAATTCATTAAAAATTTCCAATGGATGATTCGCGTCGGTTAAGCACATAATGTTTTAAAAGCTATGGCATTTACAGCAAATCCAATGTGAGATAGGTCAAAAACCAGTTTTATCACCAACAGCTGTTTACTAGATCGCCCATAAAATTCCATAAATTGAGATAAATTCGGAAGAAGTGCTTCAATTGAGTTTGAGTGGTTAGGCAAATCATTTTAAGTTTTATGAGCGGTCAGTTTAGCGTAACTTGGGTGTATCAAATTATTTGAAAAGTAATTATTTCATTTTATGTTTAAAAAAAAAAGGAAGAAAGACAACAGAAATGTTACATTCATTAGATAGAAATCGAATTGATTTGTTTCTTTACATTTTCAGTGCTACGGTCACTAATTACACTTGCGTATTGTTTCCTCGTGATATCAGCAGCACCTGTGAATGAGCTGCTAAAGGGAATTTCTAATTTTTCATCTGATTTATATCGGGTTAGTAGCGCTATCATACTCAAACTGTAAGATAAGCTAGGGGAATCTGTTGAAAAGATGAGGGATCTTTGATTATGATACCTTTCAAGCAATTAAAATACCATAACGTGTATATCCAATATCCATTCAATTGCAGCAATCGGCTAATTCAACCAGTGACAATGTGATAATTTCGCCATATTCTGTGATAAATGTACTTGCTCTACTGGCACAGGCTGCTGAATGTAATACCTTAGATGAATTAAAGACAGAATTGCATTTGTATGGTGACAAAGCGTCGGTAGCTGAACAATTCCATATTTTATATAAATTGTTGCAAAAAAGTGCCGGAAACTCAACCTTTTTGGTTGCTAATCAGATTTACGTACAACAAGATCGTTCAATCAACAAAAGATTTCAAGAAGTAGCCGTTCAAAAATTTTCATCGGGCATTGAAACGGTTAATTTTGCGAATGGTCTTAAAGCCGCTGAAATAATCAATCGCTTTGTTGGAAAGAAAACCAATGGAAAGATCAACGGTTTGGTCACACCAGACGCATTCTCTCCAATCACTCAGGCCATTTTGGTGAATGCTATCTACTTTAGAAGCGATTGGAAATATAAATTTGAAGAAGCATACACCATCGAAGAAGACTTTTATACAAGCAAAACGGAAAGAGTTGCGGTCGATTTTATGAACATCAAAGAACAGTTTTACTATGGTGATGTGCCTGACTTAGACGCCACTGCCCTCGAAATGAAATATGCAAACTCAAATTTCACTTTTATCGCCATATTGCCGAACAATCGTACAGGGCTATCCGCATTGGAATCAAAGATGACAGAATATAACTTGGCAACAGTTACTAGCCAAATGAGTTTACAAGAAGTTGATGTCAAGCTCCCAAAATTTAAAATCGAATTTGAAATAAAACTCATGGATGTTCTGAAAAATGTAAGTATTTGAAGTGGATTTTCAATGAATATTTTTCGCTTTTAATTTTAATTTCCCTTTGTCATTTTCCGACTGTTTTATTGGATTGATTTTTAAACGCTTTTTACCATTTTCAGTTGGGCATTACTGAAATATTCACACCACAAGCCGAGTTGAATCTATTGGAGACTGGTGAATCACTGCAAGTGGCTGATGTCATTCACAAGGCGTTCATCGAAGTTAACGAAAGAGGCTCTGAGGCGGCTGCTGCTACAGGTAACAATCGATTTGTCTTTAACTCGTGTTCGTTAAATCTCTAAATTGTTTCTATATTCTACATTGATTTTGTTGCATTTTGAATTTTTTTTTTCAAATTTTCTAGTCAACTGTAATTGATATAAAATGTTTGCCTATTTTGCAGCTGCACTACTTACTTTCAATAGTCTAAATGGTGGAGAGCCACAATTAACATTCCATGCCAATCATGGCTTTGTCTTTTATATTTGGAACGAAAGCACTAAAACAACGGTCTTTAGCGGCAGAATTACTAAATTTGATCGCAATTGAATTCAATATGTGGAATAAGCAACGAGAAATACCTAATTTGAAACATCAGCATTTTTTTTTAACAAACTAACTGTGATTTGAATAAGCAATAAATAATTTTTACTGTTAAACCTGGATGGAATATTTCTTTGGTGTTTTTGGATTTGAAATATAAACGCACACAATGGTATTTGCTATAGATTTCGAAATTTTCATGGAAAAAAAAATCATAACAGCAACAAAACGGTTTTTTGCGATAAAATGTTGTGACTAAAACATTTTAAGTCATGTATATTGAGATGCGATACACTCAATCCGAAGAACACAAAACAATTAACATAAACAAAACCATCGCTTTAAAGCTTATGTTGGATCTGTTTTAACATTTTACCGATTTTTGTCTTGGATGATTTTCAACGCCATCTAGCAGTGAAACGGACAACTTTGCAGCTCAGACTATCCAAACCATTTTCACATGTGTTACGAAAATTTGTAATAATGAAATTGAATTTTGAATGAATTATGTTATATTATTTTTTTCAAAAGATTTTCATTGATAAATATCGTTTTACAAAAGGAAATCTTTCATTTATCCTAAGTGATGTCAAGTTAAACGAATAAAATCAATAAAACGGCCTCATTTCAATTTTGAAAATAAGATTTTATTTTATTCAAATACAATTAATCACATGAGCATAAAGTACGCAGTTCATTGATATTAAAACAATGAGTGTTATACAATTTGCTTAAATTAGTTTGTTTTTAGTGTTGTTTTTCTGCGTCAACTATTTGGTTTTAACATGAAACAAAATAGATAGAGAGCAATCCCGCCGTTGGTTATATGTTTAACGACTGCATTATTGACTGGTCAAAATGGTTTCACAGTTCTTTTATTTCACAGTTTTTATCTATCTGCTGATTTGTTTAAAAATTGTTGAAATTTTACATTTATACATAATCGATGTGAAATCATCTATCACTTCGCTTTGGCTATATTAAAGAGCATTTACTTCGTTTACAATCAAATCTAATTTGAATAGCGTTTTCGGAGACACGTAAATGAGGTGAATTACTTGAGAAAAAAAAATGCACATTAACTAAATGAAATTCAACTTTTTTTCTCTTCAAAAAAATAAAAAAACAAAACCAAAATGCAGTAAAACTTGGTTGAAAACGGCAATTTTTTTTTTGATAAATAATAAAGCAAACTTTGAATAACGTTAAATGCTCTTTTCATTTTGGCTTGTGCTTATTTTCGAATTTCGACCATGTTGCCATTTTTATTCTTCTTGGCTAGAGCGTATATGGAGGCAGCTTTGTAATTGATTGGACCATAATTGTGAAAATCCATATCGGCATACTCAAAATCGTCTGGAAAGTTGTCTGCACACAAGGGCTGCACCGAACGACGAACATTTATAGAAAAGAAAGAAAAAGCAAATGACTTAATTTAAAGAGAACGTAATTGGAATGCTGGTTGATTTCTTAAAAGTATACGATTTTTTGAATTAATATTTTTCTTCATAAAAAAATTGTCATTGACAAACCTAGGAAATGGTTTGAAATGGAAAATGTAAAGAAAATGCGATTTTACCCCTCTTTCATCCGTTTTTCAAGTCAAGCGATAACACTTTTGAACCGAAATCCAAGAATTGACTCTAAATTGAACGCATTCAATTATCCATGGATAAGTCCATAAAATAGTATCACAAATTGTGTCAAAATGGCGGAGGTTGAATTGGTTGCAAATTGTATAATTGAATTGAAAATTACGAATGAAGTGCATAAATTATTAAGCTGTGCTTATGAGTTATGAGTGCATATATATATATATATATATATATATATTTCACTTGAATTCAGTAGAATGGCCAATTAAAAGGGGATTATCTTGCAAAGCAATTTGAATCGTATTCCATACGTTCCCATAAGGACATACAATATTTTCTTCACTTTTGTATTCATTCGTTTGTAGCGGAACTCTCAAACAAAAGTTATAAAGCCAAATGGGGTGCTCAAGTAAAATACTCAACGCGTAAAGTGGTGTTGTTGTTGTTGTTGTTGTGCGTTCATTCTTTATTATCCATCAAAGCGTTAAATTTGAAAATAATCACACGAAATCGGTAATGCGAATGCAAGCTAAAAGAGCAATTTAGCAAAATGCATACAGTATGAAGAGCTTTGTTTGTGGGTGTTGTTGGTCCAGCGGGAAAAGTTCATAAGTGAAGCAATTTTATGGAGCTTTGTTTTATGGGGTATAAAAGCTTGCAGCTCGTAAATATAAATTGGATTCGGTACTCTAGACTGTATTGCTTTTGGTAATATCATAAATCGAATATGATCAACGAAACCAGAACTGGATTCGTAATATTTTATAAATATTACTTCAAAAAGATTCATGGATTTGACTTTAACAAAGTTTCTTCTTTTCAATCAAATTTTAGCGTATAATAATTCTCTTTCATCTTTTGAAGAGCGAAACAAAGCAATTTCAATTCATCATCACCTATTCATCATTATCCCATCATCTACCGCACAATTATGACCAAAAAATTGCTCCGCACTTCGCTATTTAGTATGTATCATAATGATAGTATCATTGTAAAATCCATTTTCCCGTCCAGCACCATAAACGTAGCAAATGGAAAATGTGTGTTTGACAAAGTGCAAAATGAACAAATTCAAACGCGATGTCTTTAATGATTGATTTTAATATTGTAAGTTAAAGAAGATAAAAAAAATAAAGAAAAAAACAAACGGATTTAACTTGTAATTACCTTACAGTTTGATTTAAGAAGAGCAAATTGGTTTTTGTGTTCGAAATAAACCCGATGGAATCGTTTGTATATTTTACTTAGAGCACTTGTGTTGTTTTGTTTTTTTTTATAGATTTGGTTTTTTTTTTCTGAATTGTTAGGATCAAGCAAGAACGAATGGATTTTGCGTGTCTTCTCAATAAATGTAAGTATCGCTACATTTGATTTTGCTGTCGTCAAGCTAAACGAAACAAATATAAAAAAAAAAAATAGTCGTGAAAAAGAGAACACATGAGTAAAAGATTCCAACAAAAATAATTTGGAAGAGAAAAAAAATAGTTTTTTTTTGTGTTTGTTGGTCTTGGATGACGATCTTTAGTTTCATGTATTATTAAAAGCAGTTGAATTACGTATAAAATGAGAAGCAATGCTCAATTTCGAAAATTCCAAAGAAAAAATATTATGAATAAACCCAATTTACAACCAACTATTACCTCGCGCTAGTGTCATGTATATATCGCTTTTGATTCAATTACTTTTTGAATTCGAATTCGACCACTCTGAAAGGTGACAGTCTGTCATATATATTAGAAATTATTGTTTGTTTTGTCTTCGCATGTAAATGTTCACTGTAATTTATTGGTTTGTGAGTGTGTGTGTGTGTGTGTTTGGGATGTTTGAAATTAGTTTTGGTGTGAGAAAGCATGATTGTGTGTGATCGATTGGGCGAAGAATTGTGTTATTTGAGCATCATTCATGATATCATCAGCAATGTGTCAGATAATCGCAATTTGCGAAGTTTCATTCATTTTCCTGGATTATTATTACTCAAAATATAGAAGCTACACCATCAAAAGACCACTTTTTACGCTAAAAACTTCCAAAATTCTTCATACCAATGTGTTATTTTTGGGAATAACGATGATTTGTCATTTTTTTCAGAAGAAAAATTCATTTTTTTTTTCGTAATTAAATGTGTGCACGCACGTGTCTGTGTGTTTGTGCCGTGAGTGGAGGGAAGGGGTAGAAAAAGGTCAACCGTAATAAATCGCGAGAGATCGATGCATGTGTCAGAAAAGGTCATCGTTGAGAAAATTCGCGTCGGCCGAACGTAGCGATTGTCGGAAGTAATATTCGTCGGATGTCGTCGACGACGAATACTCCGAATCAGAATGAACTGATGACGAAGATGATGAAGACGGATACGGTGTATTATGTGTTATGTTGTTACGCGGTTGTAAATTCGCTAGTTGATCGATCTGCAAAAAGAATGCACCAAGAAAATTTGCATCATTTTTTTAATATCCGGTTTGTTTATTTTTCGAACAGAATTATTGGAAAACTTTTTTGTTTAAAAAATTAATGTTTTGATGCAATTCGATTTTTTTTTGGGATTCTTTACAAAGCGCATGATTTTATTAGATCTGAATTTGAAATGAAATGACGTTTTTTTGTTCTACGTAATGAAGCACGTTGTTTTTTTTTTACTGTGACACCACACAAATCTATTCGCAACGAATGGCATTTAAGTCAAATTAGAATGATTTGAATCTTGTTCATTGTAATTATCAACTGTTCTTCGATTGGAAGGTCTCTTCAAGAGGTCTCCACGAGTGGAAGGTATCAAGTGTCGATTTAACTTACCGATTAGTAACAAAGGTTAGCCTGCCGATTAAGCGCATTTGGACGAAGGAAGCAGAGCATGGTTTTTTAGTTGGGGGAGCTATTTAAGGTGAGCAAAACAAAAACAAAAAAGACAAAAGCATCAATCGTTTCAACGTTAGTCAGGTGTCAATGAAATGTCTCATTGTTATTTTTTTTATTGTAACCGCAATAAATTGTTTTGCAAACTGTTGCTTTTTCCAAACTCCACAGCAAATTATTTTTTACCTACATAATAGTATAGTCATTACATGCCATGAACAATTTTCTTTTTTTTTTCTTCTTCTTCCAATAATGTATGAGTTTCATTTCTATATCTATTGCAAAATTTATACAATTCGGAATTCAGGTTAACAAAATCAAATTAAATCTAGAATATATGATGAATTTCGCACACAATTTTCAAAAATTAAAAAATACTTTTACTCCCTCACTTCCTTTATATCTCTCTTCAGAATAATTCAAATACTATTCCTCTACATCCATATGACTGAATATGAACGGCCAAGCATAAATCTATTTTTTATGCAGACTAATGCATTCGCCTTGAATAAATTTATGTGTGCAATCTATATATGGAAGTGTCATTCACTGTACCACTTTCGCATATAAATGTGATCTTGAAAAATGCATACGCTTCTGCAGCGCAGCAGCCAATTCACAAATGCTTTCAGCTTAAAGTCATATGTTTCTGTCCAAGCTTATACGTACATTGACATGATCCCTTGCTACTCATTCATATGTACAATATTTGACCGTGTCAGACACAAAATTGCAACATTTCGCTGTGTTTTTTTTCTTTCTTCTAAATTTTTTCTTCTTCTTTTTATTTCTCATGTTTTTTTTTTTATTCTGCTAATTTTAGCTCTGGCTAAACTAAAACAATGATGATCTCATTCTGAAATTTTCAGCTTCAATGATTTAGTACAATCCATTTAAACTCTTTGTTCAGTTTCTAAACTCAGGAATGTGCCACTTTTGCATCTGAGGTTGTCACTTCAACTCAAATATGATATACATGTATGTATAAAAAAAAAATTATTTATGGATTCACTTAATTGGGATGAAAGAAGAGAAACAAAAAGTAAATGTTGCCTTAAGAGATATACATATGTGATAGCTTACTACGGCCCCTCTTTTCTTTTTGTTGTCTCTGTTAAACTTTGGTGTTTCAATAATAATTTACAAAATCCATTCACCAAAATATTATGAAAACGACTACAATCGTACAGAAAAAAAAAATAGTTAAGTATACGCGGCAAAAGTCTTAAACTAATCAATCCATTTGTTGGACATAAAACAATTTCTGCTATGCGTATAGTCTAGAACTCTGTAGATTTAAAAATAAAGTTCGCTAATATTTAATTCATTCATTCGTGTTACATCGAAATAAATACATAAATAAATATACTTGAATTGTTTTTATTTCTCTTAAAATAAATTTCGTATCGATCGTTTTTTTTAAACCAATTACGTAGAAGATTTTTCGGTGATAAAATAGTGTGAATGTTTTGGTTTTTTTTTTTCGTTTCAATTTGGAAAATTAAAATTGGAATGTGTTTTTATCTTCATAGATTTGGCCGATTAACCGTATTTAAGACACATTCTTATATTAAATGAAATTGAGGCCCAATCACCGTCACGCTCCAGATTTCCGATTAGAATGGGGTGGAGAATAAGTCATCACTTTTCGAATTGTGTAAATGAAATTTTCGATTGCCTTGAACCGTTTCAATTAACGTTTTAGCTTGCAATACATCTCTTTCTTAGATCAAACATACCCAGCGGATCATCAATAATGAATTGAACGTAAAAATTTTGGATATTCAATTGATTATAAATAAATGTGACCTACTTAGAATACCATTCGCTTTCGCCTTTTTCAAATGGAACATTTCAAGAAATAACGGTTGGAACGTCTATAGAATTTGGTTCGGTTTTTGTCATTTCAATTAAAACTCAGCTACCCTTGGCTTTGTGCTTTTCATTTAAAAAAAGAAAAATTAAATTGTATAAATAGGAATTATCCATATAGGTGTTTTCTTGTTGTCATTTGTCCCTAATTTACTAACAATATTCACTAAAAATTTACCTACAAATCGTCCATTTATCAAACATTTTAAACGTATCTAATAAAGTGTCACTGTTGCGATCACATGTCACACGTGTGTGTGTTTATGTGAGTAATAGATGATATCCCATTGATTCGCGCGCGTCTGAGTGACAGTGTGCCTAATTAATGGCATATATAAATATTTTAAAATTGATTAATCGAAATGTCGGGGAGGCGGGCGTATTTCACGAGTTCATTGGAATGTTGAGATTTCAAATACTGATTTCATCAAATCTTAATGTTGCATATTGGGTTTTTGTGGTTGTTGTCGTCGTCGACGATGGGGGAGCATTCGATTGATTTCTCTGTAATAGTTTGTGGTCCCCTTTGCCAGAAGTCATGCTATCGTTGGCCATTTGCCGTTCAGCCTTACTACTGCTACTGCCGCCGCTGCTGCTGCTGCTGCTGTTGCTGCCGCCATCAACAATGTCAGTGTCTTCATTTGAATTATTGTTATTATTTCGGTCATTCCGACGATGAATTGAATTGAAATTAGACGATGGCAATGGTGCCAAGTCGGCATAATGTATTTTTCGTCGATTTACTGCCGATGCAGATGCAACGGTGGCATTTCCATCTTCATTGTCACTTTGCCATTGGTGAGCCGTTGAAAATGTTTCCACATTCGATATATGACGCTTTAGACTTGTGCCACAGATGCGAGGCATTGTTGATGTGTCGACAAAATCATGTCGTCGTTTCGATGAATCTTCCGATTCGTTGGATCCTTTTGGCGACGGTACAATCGGTTTGAATGCACTTTTCTCGCTAAATGGCTTAAACACTAACGGACCTTGGTTTTTATATCGTTCTTTGGTCGATACTTGCACTTGCTGAGGATGTTTTTGCTGGAATTGTTCGTGCTTTAAAACGCCAGCCACCGTTTGTGATGGTTGAAAATGGAAGCTATGATGTTTACGAAGTGGAAGTTTAACGGGTCGTCGATATGATGATGCGGACGACGACGATGATATTATTGATGTATCGCCATTTTTGCGCGGAAACAACTCTTTGGGCACGAGTATTTGTTGACGGCGATTTGATGTCGTGAATGGATTAGTAGGCATAAAACGCTAATGATCAAATCAAATACAGATAGAGAGGGAGAGAGAGAGAAAAGAACACGAAACGCATGTCGTGGAAAAAAAAACATGTTAATAAATATAGAATTTGGGACATGGATGGAACCAAAAAAAAGCGTTAGAAAAGCACACAAACCTCATAGTTAAACGCTGTGGTTGCGAAGCCGAGCTTGGAATTAGGTGCGACAATGTTATTTTCGTGTCGGTATTTGCTGTTTGTGCCGCAAATCGATGAATATTTCGGAAGGTTCATGTAAACGGGTGCACTTTGGCAGTTGCGTGGATTGTTCCTGGGTGCTGGCACCGGTGTCAATTCATACGAGCTATTCGATATGCCCGAATCGCTTCGATAAATGCTATTAGCATCGTTGCCTTCGCAATAGAACTCATCCAAAATGGTTGTACCGACCAAAATGTCACCCTGCTGCTGCTCGAGCGTTGCATTCACAAGATTCTCGTACAACGGTTGCTGGCTAAATGTTAACTTGCGAAGCACGGACGTGGATTCGGGCTCCGAATCGGAATGATGTAACTTTGACGATTGAAGGTAGGGTAATGCCGAATTATTAATAACAAGTAGCTTTTGCTGTGTATTGTATGTTGGATTAGTGAGTGCCTGATGGCGTCGGCATTTGTTTAGGCGCAACGAATAAAATTGTGGTGCTTTTCGCGCGCTTGACGATTTCAGTGAATTAAATTTCTTATCACCGGTGGTGCAGTGCATTGCGATCGATTTTGTTCGAGGCATTGACAATGACGTAAATGAAACGGTGTGCGCCGCCGATGACGATGGTGCCGATTGTTGTTGTGATGGTGGCAAAGAAGGCGGCGGTGGCGGTGGCGGTGGTCGTGGCACCAAATTTCGTTTGACTTGATTTAATGATTTTGGCCGCTTTGCCAGAAATGGATTATTTAGCGCTAGTGTCGACTTAATTGGATCGTTATCAATAACAACAACATTGTTGCAATTCGCAGGCATTTGACTACTACTGAAATGATTATTCGGTGTCTTGTTGTTGTGTTGCTGTTGCTGTTGTGCACCAGCCAATGCCGTTGTGGTTGCGCTATTGCCATTATTCGAACTATTTATGTGAAGAAAATTTGGATAAGTCGATAAATGGTTGGTCGCTGTGTTTGTGCTACTATTTGAATTTGATGATGGAAAACTATGTGCCAGGTTGTAACAATAGGTTGGTGGTGCTGCCGATGTTGCATTAGCCGATGGTGGTGATGATGTTGCATTTTTTTGCCGTGGTGCCACTCGCACAACATTTCCATGTGCCGCGTTGGCTGGCGTATAAAACTGCGTTGCCCATATACAAAAATGGTAGGTTTTTTTTTGGTTATGAATTAAAACAATGAACAACAACAAGAGAAAAGAAGAAAAAAAAAATAGGAGGACCCTCTCATATGTTCACTTGTCAATATTGTTGGGAATAGTATGCGGAATCGGCACACGAAGCAATCGAGGGAAACAACAGGTATTTTCATTTTGGATAATTGAACAATCCAAGCCATTTCGGCATACATTCCGTTGATATTTCGCAGTGAGAGAGAGAGAGAGAGAGAGAGAGAAAGAGAGAGAGAGAGAGAGATAATACTTGAGACCAATTCTAATGTTACTACTAGTGCTGTGTCTCTTTGTGCGTGTGTGTGTGTGTGTGTGTGGTGCATAGTTCATATATTATTAGTGCAGAAATAGTTAAATTTTCCAGTATATTTTCCTGTCATATCACAATCAAATGGCCAAAAGGCAAATATCGCTTCGCTTGACATTGTTTGCATTTCAATCAAAGCGAAGCGGTTTATTTTTCACAATTTTTGATTCCAATTCGATTGAATGGTGAGCAACTCGAAACACAACCAGAATTTAATTCGGTTCACAAAAAAGGGAAACAACCAAACAAACGGAGCATGCGATTGACGGACAATATTGTCAGATAGGATGATGGGTCATTTTCCATACGACAACTTTCTATTCCAATGTTACTATGATTGGATTTTACAACAAAAGGCGACTTTTCAAACCGCAACAACTTTTACCGAAAAAACAAACTATTTTCTTTTGTCGGAAGTCATCAACAAGCATTACTAACTGAAATGGATTGGGATGGCTTCCAGAGAGAAAGAAAGAGTGGAGAAGAACATGGGATTCATTTGCATGTGTATGTGTGTGAATTGAATATGTGCGGTAAATGGGTGAAACCGAAATTATATGGTTTTGTGCGTGTATGTATGTGTGTGTGTGTGTGTGTGGTTTTTATGGTTTTGCATCACACTCTACCATCTTCAACATACCCACTGTTAATTGTTTGCATCCACTTTCATGTTGATGAATGTTCAATCATTTAAATTTTCTTTTCTGATAATGGCTCTGTTTACGTAGTTGCATGCTCAAAAGAATTCCCGACAATTTCTCCACTTGTTTTTATTTTGTCTCAATTGTGCTTGTCTATTGGCTTTGGCTTAAATGGATTACTGATTTTTGCGGTTTTGTCACGATAGACACGAAGCTTCAAAACAACAAGCAATGCGATTGATGCTTGGTTATCATATTTTACTTTCTTTTGTTTTGTTTTTTTCGGTAGTCGATGTAGTTATGGTTGCATCGCGTCATTATTTAGTTCAGGCATTATTTATGTTGGATAACTTGGTTTGCTATTGTTATACCAACTCTTGAGCGGCATTGGCTTATAAATGGTGCATGTGATATGCGGAGCCGAATTCAATGATGTTAACAATAAAATTTCCTGCAAAAATAATTTATGTCGTTCGCAAAAGAAAAATTGTGTTTTTTTTTTTAGTTTTGATTTGAAACAAAAATAGAAAACCATTTAATCAATTAAATTCAATTAATTTTGATCAAAATTATAAACTAAAGCGTTTCGAATGGATCGATGAAATGAGAGTATTCATTTTTGTGAAAACGATGCAAAGAATTGAGGGATAGTTGGAATAGACCAAACTGTTGTACAAGTTTGTTTTATAGAATGGCAGCGCGAATAGTGGATTGTTGGAAAATATGCGATCAAGCAATGGAGATAAAAATAGAAGCAATGAACAGGATGCAACAGTCTAGAGCTCATTATTTAATTGACGTTGAAGCTTATGACTATATGGCTTTTGATTTATACAGCAGTGGGCTTGAACAATGGCCTTTTTCTGCAGTCTTTATTTTTACTTTGAATCTCGAGCATTTTTTAAAGGTCATTTATCCATTTCGAATGATTGATGGAGAGTGTTTGTTTACTGTCAGATGATAATGAATGATTGTAAATGAAATGTTTTGCATGCAATCAAAAGTGATTCATTTGTCAAAAGAATCCATATGATTGGCAGAGAATATGGATTTAATTTGCGCGACAGTGAAATGTGAGCTATTTCAATTTCAAATGAGTGTGTGAAAAACTAGCGTCTAATGTGATTTGAACCTATCAATAATTATTATGTAACGATAGTAACGTTGATCATGATACTACATGCTATTCATCACTTTCATTTACGTAATGTTATTTGATTCTATAAAAATATTTTATTTACAAACGCAAACAAAATTTCACTCTAATGTTTTCTTTCCTGACGCAAAAGCACAAACTTCTTGTGATCTTTAAACTTATTCAAACAAATCATGGATTTGTGGAGTGAAGCTTTTATGTGCGTTTCAGTTTTGGTTGTGCACAAAAGTGCGTTGCATATTAAAATGTCAGATGTGTCAGGACAAGTTCTTTCGATTGTGACATGAGTTCTCCGAAAATGCAATTCGCAATGAAAATATTTACATGGATTTTACAGCCATTTCCATAAGTGAAAAGTTTGAAATGAACAGCAGAAAATAGAAAATTCGATTTATAAATGCTGTGTTTTAAATGTGAATGGCAAATGAGTGAATGACGCTACGAATGAAGTTGAGTAAAACGTGTGTGAAATGTGCAAAATGCATGACATGTTTGAAACATTGTTTTTTTTTTTGTTTCGTTCATTCGATTTCATTTGAAAACCGAATAACATAGAAATAAATAGCGTAGCAAATGAATTGAATTCAAGTCGAAATGAAACAGAATGTAATTAAAACTCACTTTATTAGGTGCGGTTTGAAGTCCATGAAACGGTAGATTCTCATACTCGCCAGGATCCGTTAACAGATCGCCCTGCGATGATTTGCCTTTGCCGCGTGCTATACATGTGGAAATGGAAAATAGAACAAATTCAATCAATGGTTTGATCTAATTTCAAAGTCGTATCGTAGTGGTTTTGTTTGTTTGACGGAGTGCATTTAAAATAGGCACACTCGTCAAAAACGCACAATACCACAATGTTGGTGCAAAAGCAATTCCCCTTGCAGAAGCGATATCCAATTACTTTTTCGCAAAGGCAATGAGCATTTTGGTCTTGGTTTTTCTTAATATTGCAATTAAATATCAAGTTGACATTTGTATTGAATATTTTGAGAGAGAAAAAAAAAATAGAGAGTAAAACTAGCAACTAGTAGTATACAATCTACCAAAAAAAAAAGCTGAATTAATTTATGTAGAAGAAAATTTTTCAAGCAAAACAAAACAAGCACACACACAGAAAAAAACATGCAATCAATATTTGTTAATAACGTTGTGATGGTGACTTTGCTGGACTTTTGGTTCAGTAATTATTTTTCGTAGTATTTTTTTTTTTCGTTTTCTGGTCAAAAAAGGTAGAGCAAGTGCGATGAGAGTGATTAAACTTTTGAAATTGCAACAAATTACTTACGCGATGAACTTTTTTCTTTCCGAGACTCGATCGAGTTGGTTAAAGAGTCGGATATACTGATCGGGTGTAGTGTCACTGGCGTGCGCTTGTATGTGACAACTTTGTTTTCATTTCATATGGGAAAAATTACAAAAACAATACAAATGTTTGTGTGTTGCGTATAGGGCGTCGTATCGTTTTTTTCTTTTGTTAAATATAAAAATGAAAATAAACGCAAAATGCCGAAACAAAATGAATAACGAAAATAAATGTGATCATTTTCGGTGAAAATAAAGCAAAAAAAAAAAAATTGCAAACTAAAAATTTGAATGTTGTGCTAGACATTCGAATGCGTTGGTAAATTTTTTTTTTACAAATTCGATTGATTTTGAAGAGAAAGAGTTGATTCGAGAGTAGTGCTTTGTTGTTGTTGCTGTTGATTTTTGAATTTTGATGTGCGATTTGATTACGACTAGAAAAAGTTGAATAAATCGAGGAGAAACTGTGTGCGAGAGGAGAGAGATAGAGAGAGAGAGAGATAGACGTGATATTTACCACTGTCACTGCATGTGATTCCATTTTGCAAGTGGCTTTTGGTGGGAGTGTCACTCATGAGGCCCGTTGTTGAGTTGGTGGATTTGCCGCTGCCAAACCAGCCAGTGGCTCGCAAAAGGCTCACCGCTCGCTTATTACTCTTAGCCAGAATGCCTTCTTCATTGTTTGCCGCATTGTTGTGTGCATTGTTGTTGGACTGTTCGCGACGCCATCTCAATCGACCCAAAATGCGTTCAATCAAATTCGAACTCGTGAAACGTAACAATTCATCATTGTTTGGTTCGCTATTGGCGGTGGCAATGGTTGTTGTATTCTGCAACAATCCGGTGGTTGTTGTATCCACGGTAACCGTTGAATGATTGTTGCCATTCACTTCGCATCCCCCATCTTCTTTGCAACTGTCATCCGATGATTCTACTTTTGCCGTTACACCATCCTCATCGATGAGCAGCGCTCTTGCAACGGGTTTACTTGATTTTTTACTATTCGCCGGTGATTCGGCACTGGTTGAATTCGTTGTTTTTGTACTATTTCGTGCCGGTAGTTCGGGTAGTGTGATTGGTGTGGATGATAGATTTGCCGATCCGCCGGCTACTTTACCACTCGCTATTGATGTATTTCGTGAATTTGCGCTGAGCAATGGTGATGCATAGCTGACATTATTTAAATTGCTGGTGTTCATTGATGCATTGAATGGGCTTTGGGCGCGATTCGCACACAAATTCTGTTTCGTATCACATTTGACGTGCACTAGTACACCAGGTCGCAGTGGCCATTTGGGGGGACTCTTCGGAATTTCGGGCGCAGACGGTCTTGATGCCGTTGACTCAGCTGTTGCTGCTTGTGCAGACAAAACACTGCATCCCGATCCACACATGCAATACATCAACGTTGTGTTTTTTTTTTCATTGTCATTTCGCCATACGAACCGATTTGAAATTTCATTTGAAATTGTTTTGTTTTTTTTTTCGTTTGTCAATAGCGCAAATTCGTAATTAAAAAAAAAAGAAAAAGCAAATAAAAAATAATAATAAATAAATGAAAAGAAAAATGAGTGTGATAATAAGCGATCCAACTGTATAAGCTGCCATTTTCGTGACGTACATATTTCTTATTTGTTGTCGATGTTGCAAACGGACCTACATTAAACTCATACTTTGCACATTGATTGGAACGACAATGACGGGGCAGGGAGTGGAAAACTACGCATTTGATTCGAATCGTATTTCATTTCCTTACAACAAACGTAGTTACCTACGTTACCCTACGGCAAACGTTCTAATTGACCACTTGCAAAAAGAAATAATTACCTTACGCTATTAATATATTATTCGTATTTCCACGAGCTGTTATTGAATCATTTGTTTGTGAACATTTGCTGCAATGATTTATCGTTCGCCTGGATGGTCGTTAATCGCTGATTTATCAGCGCTTACAAGGAAAATATCTCACTTTCCGTTTGTTTTATTGATTGCGGAAATTGTTAAACAAATCAAAATCGTTTGTTGTTGATGACCCATTTCGTTCATATAAACCCAACGAAATGGATTTGTAATTGATACTTTTGCAAAAAAAAAGGACGGGAGAAAAAAGAAACCCGAACCAGATGTAATCATATCAGCTCAATTGATCTCTTTTTCTCGATTAAATGAAGCGAATCGAATGGTTCTTTGTTCCATTCATAAGCAAATTACTGTTTCGCACATAAATGCAACGTTCCGTTAACAGCGGAGAAAAGCAGCAGAAAATGAATCCTTTATTTGATATTGACGATAAAAAAAAAAGTTTTACCGCCGAATGAATGTCATCGAAACGGTTTGATTCCATTTCGGTGATAATGGGTAAAGTTTCGCACCGCAACATTTAATCAGTCAAATGATTGAGCATTGCATTAATTTTATTCAAACGATGATTGATTGATATGGCTGTCAAAGTGGCTTTCTAAATGAGATTTCCCACGACTCAATGATGCGTGAAATTGAACGTTGCATCTTGCTAACGTGGGCGAAAGAAGCCGGAGAGAGAATGTCTTTGGGTTCGTAACGATTTCGGTATTTGGATTTTATCCATGTTCTCTGCTTAACAATCATGAAACTGAAGAAAATAAAAATTCCTTTGATTGAATTGAGCAAATAACTCGATAACAATCGAAATGAATTCGTTTATTGCTTTTGTTGGCTGCTATTTTCGGATATATGCGACAAACACCAAAAAAAAACCGCTCGTTGATGTGTTTAATGCATACCCATACACACACCATCTGAATGAGTTTGCTGATTTCGATCAAAAGATGATGAAAAAGATGGATATTGGACAACATCTTGATTTCTATCCTGAAAGCGTTATCCTTTTGTTCAACGACCAAATGACGATGGGCAAGAAAAAAGCAAAATGGTGAAAATAAAAACGTCGCTTGGAAAATGTTGAAATGACGATGATGAAGACGAGATGATTAAAACCGAGTGAATTGAGCTGAGCGTGTGTGTGTGTGTGTGTGCGTGACATTCTTTGGATGGAAAATAGTGGAAAATTGCTTAGCTTTTCACCACAGACACATGCACACAATGACCTCTTTGTCAATATCCGTTTCTTTTGTCACTGCGCTGAATTCGTCACAAACTCTCATTCCTACACACACACAATTGATTTTATGAATGAACACACACAACACAGCCAAAGAAAGTGTGAGAAAAAAAGAATTGTGGAAATGCAGACGAAAGCAGTGTGTTAAATAAAATTAAATCTCATCAAATTTACACTCAGCACACAAGCACACGTGAATGACCAAAAATGGTCTAAAATGAATGGTGAAAATGGACAAAATGTGCAAACATGGTAACAACAATTTTCAAATGGCGAAACGAAAAATACAACACAGCACACAAAAAAAGTGCCCAACTGGACGAACGATCAATTTATGTCATTTCATTTTATAACATATTCTCCAGCTGATGAAGGTCCACTCCTGAAACAGCCAACAGTGTATGTGGTAGAGAAGGACAGACAGCGAACGGATCTCTTTTTAGCCCAACCACACTCTGGCAGTTGTGATATTAATAGCGTTGAGCTTTTATGATTCAGGCTACACATTTTTCGGGATTTGAAATTTACATTATTCGAATGTTATTGCGTTTTGCATATTGCAAACGAACGTCGACGTATTTTTTTTCCTACTCTTTTCGAAAAAAAACTTCGTACATTTTTTTCGGTTTTATTTTTTTTTTTTTTTGGTAAATTTCCCGGTGTGCAAGCGAACGACATTATGTGTATTTATGCAATTGTGATGAGAGTACAAGAAATGGAAAATGAACAAATATATGTGTGTAATATTTATATATATCTAAACGTGAAAGAAAAAAATACTCAGTAACATGTTTTACTAGCAACAAAATACAACGACAATAAACAAAAAATATGCATTTCAAAAAAATAAACACGTAGAAAATGAAAAAAAAAAGAATACAGTTATAGACACAGCCATATGAAATACATGAAATGGTTTTTCCAGTGGACGCTGAACAAGAACAACTGAACCGAACAAAACAGAAAAAAAAACGGTGGCATTTGCTTACCTATGTGTTGCACTGATGGACACATCCGTGTGATCTATGGGTGTTTGTTTTTGTATTTGTGTATGTGTGTTGTTGTTGTTGTTGGCAATTTATTTTATTTTTAGTGTTTGATTAAATGGAATGTTGAAATGTGTGTTGAGTTTTGTTGTTGTAGTTGTTGATTTTTTTTTTAAGTTTTTTTTTTTTTTTAGTTGGCGGTTATGATGGTTGCGAATAATTGTCGAGTTTGTAGTTTGGTGTTTGTTTTATTTGTTTTTGTTCAAGATTTGTTAGGCGGTGGATTTCGGTTATAATACGTTTTGATGCACAAAAAGCAATAAAGTAAACATGAAAACAAGAAAAAGACAAACAAAATCACATAAATGTTAGTACAATTTTTTTTTTCTTTCGAAAAACAAACAAACAGAATAAATGAAATAAGATAAAAAAAATTAACAGAAATTGTGATGGTTGATGCTCGTTTAATAACCCAATCTTTATAAAAATGGAATTGAAAATGTAATAGAATGAAAGAAGAACAAAAAAAAAACACACACATAGATGACATTATCATTGGATGAATGACGCTGAATTGTTACATCAGCGCCGTTCAATGAAACATGAATTTTCATAACTTGCTCGCTCGTGTTTTGTTGTGTGTGTGTGTGTTTTATTGTTATAAATTTTCTGACACAAACCAATGGCCGATGAATTAACTACAAACTTTACGATGGCAAATGTCAAAAGCACTTTGAAGTGAGACTTGGTGCACTTGTGCAACCGAATTCGTGGTTTTGATCAATTTTGATTTTGGATTTTGTGATCGAGAAAAGTAGAACTCTCTCTTGCTCCAGAGAGAGATATAGAGTGAGGCAGAGAGAAAGGGAAGAAAACCCAAGTGTTAACGAAGTGACACATCCACTTTCTTCATCCATAGTACGGCTGTTGAACGTCAAAGTCATTTGAGGCAACGCAAGCGCCCCCAATTTCAAAGGGCACATCAATGTAATTTAACATTTCAAATCGGAACTAAACAGCGCGCCAATTCGAAATATAGGAAAATATAGTGTCAACAGCCGCACCATGGCACAGCATCTGTGTTGGAAAACTTTGTGTGCTAATTTGAGACATTGTAATCACATCGTCATAATTATTTCATTTTTATTGAATTTAAATGCATTCCCAATCAAGTATAATACATATCGGAATGAATGTGTGTGTGTGTGTATATGATGGAAACAATGTCAAAATTGGGATGCGATTTTTTTTTAAACGAAATATTATGAATCGGAAATAAAACATTGATTTATTGTATAAACAAGCAAGATTTGAGAGATACAAAAATTCAATTCAACATTTTCTAGATGGCAATAAAAGCGGTTAAAATGTCAAATCAGAGTCGAAAAAGAAAAGAAAAACATAAAGGAATGTGTAGCAAAAGAGAGAGAGAGAGAGAGAGAGAGACAGACAGAGAACGAAATGTAAAATAAGCGAGCGGGCACAGCGCTCAAACCGTCAATTGCATTGCTATGTATTGGAAATGTACTTACATTTGTCACGTTGTCGTCGCTTACGGCATATACAAATGATGATGCAGCAGATGATGATAACCATGAGCAGAAGAGCGGACACGGCTGCCATGATTATTATCATTGGATTTGTGTTCCAGTGTTGCCACCAGTGATATTGACCTGCATGTTCAAGAATGTTCGATAAAAAATTCGATTAAAGTATTTTCGTAGCCACAGAAAGCGATGGGACGAAGAAAAGGGAGAGATTGAGAAAGAAAAAGATTTGCAACGAAAAGATATAGAGATAGATTTAGAGAGTTACGACAGTGGTAAGTTAGAATATCGAAACATTTTTCTTTCTTTTACTTACGTTTTGGCCAAACTGTTAGTATGCACATGTTATGGGATTTATTGTGTATTCGATAGCATGAGTTTTTCGATGTTGTTTATGTTTTTTTTTTTATTCGGAAGATTGGTGTATGTGTGGTGTGCGAATATGTGCAAAGCAGGGCAGTTAGTATGGAAAATGTTGCGTTAGTGATGTATTAAATAGTTATATATGATATAAAATTCGATTATTTTGAAACATGAACATTGTGTACACAGGAGTTTCCACTGGGATGGAGTGGATTTTTCTTTTTGGCGCTTACCGGTGATTTCAATGCTGCACATCGTTCCGATGCCGATGGAATTGTTGGCAATGCATCGATAGGTTCGGCCTTTGTCATCGTTTATCGTTAAAAAGCTCACTGTATCCGTGTCTTCCGTACTTGGCTCCGGCATTATTTCGGTTTCATTCTCCATTTTCACCGTCCACTCGAAGCTCATCTAACCAAAATGCATACACATACATAAACACATACACGTTTACATTTTGTTCGCGTTTTTTTTTTCTCCACAAATAACAAAAATAACGTAGTACCTTTGCTGGATTTCCAATTGCGGTACAAACTAATGTGTCCTCATCATTTATTTCGCGTCTTGTGATCGTACAGTCCGGTTTATCTGCGGATACAAATGTCAAATGAATACACTTTTTTTTCTGGTCTTGTTCCACCAAAAATTCGCTGCAATCGAAAAAATGTAACAGAAACCTACACAAAATATTGATCTCCATGGAAGCGCTTTGAGTGCCGTGTTTGTTTCGCGAAACACATTCATAAATGCCAGCATCGTCACGAGTCATTGGTTTGTAGATATGGAGAATTGTTCCATCGCTTTTCACCGTTCCATTGCGAAGCCATTGATATTGAAGCGGTGGATATGCATTGCCAGCGCATGTGATTCGGGGCGGTGAGTCGCCTTCAATGACATCAACCGTTGCATTTGAAACAGTCGTATTCTCGGGTGGATCTGTAATTTCAAACGGATAATCAGATTTCATGCAGTATTTTTCATTTCATTTATAAATGTGAACGCGAGCGAACCAAAAATTATGGTCCAAAGGGACCATTGTGTTCGCATTTAGTTGAACAAAAGCTAGAAAATCAAGAGAGGGGGGGAGAGAGAGAGAAAGTTGTTAGCCAAAAACATGAAAATAAAAACAAAACACGTACATTCAACATGAAAATCCGTTGAGCTTCTGACGCCGGGTCCTTCACTATTGGCCGATGAAACGCATGAATAATTGGCGTTGTCTTGATGAATATCGAGCTGTTGGTCGGGCCATGCGGAAATGTTGAAATTCAAGGTGGATAGCACACTTTCAAAGTCACCGATTGCGTTGTCGGCTGGCAAAAATGTTTCGGTGATCACGTAACGTTCGTCGTATTTTTCGATGCCGATACCATTTTTGTACCAAGTTATCGTGCACAGTGGAACACACTCAACGCGGCAAGACAGTGAAATATTTTGCGTTGAGAATAAAGCGGCCGTTCTTGGTTGTAGAGCCTGTATAAATGCGGGCGGTGCTAAAACATCCAATGCAATGCTGCCAGTTTGACCTTTACCACCCTTGTTATATGCATAGCACGAAAAATTTGTTCGCGATTCGAGGCCAAGATTCTCAAATGTAATCATCGCTGTGTCGTACGGCAAAACACTTCCGCTACGGAACCATTTATATTGCGTTGCATTCGGATTGCCGCCATCTTCGACCGAACAAAATAGTGTGACGGATTTTTTCTTACTCGTGACCAACGGATAATGAAGCAATGTGGCTTTTCCCGGCTCATAATACACAACAAGTTCTTTGTCGGCGCTACGATTGCCCCAGCCCGCTAAGTTTTGCGCTTCGCACGAATAATTGCCAAGAAAATGTCGTCCAACATTTTCGAGCAGCAGTATGTCTGGATCAACGCCGCACAAAGCATCATCACCACTTTCATTGCACTCGGGCAATTCCTTGAGGATGCCACCATCCAAATACCATGTAACACGCGATAATGTGGCCGGATTGCCAGAGATAATGCGACACATCAGCGTCACATTGACGGCATCACGTTCAACGATTGGTGTGTCTGGCTCCATTAGCAGTTCAACTATTGGCGGATCTGTTTGCATGCCAAACGGACACAAAGAAGTGGCAAAAACGCACACACAAACAGAAAAAAATAAACAGAAGAAAACATTTAAATTTGGTTAGTTTCAAAACATTTTGGTTCGGTTTTTTTTTTCATTTTAAACACATTTTTTCCCTCTCATTTCATTTCATTTCGCTTGCAAATTGAGCAGAATCAATTTTTTTTTCCTCTACCAGTCAAACGCGGTGAGTTAGAAATGTGCAGAACAAAAAACGAGAGAACGAACGAACGAACGAATAAAAAAAGAATTGACACGACAGAGATTCCAAAGAGAATGTTGTGAATGGAGACTAAAAAGCGATTCATTTCGCTTTTGTGCTGTGAAAGCAAATTAAATGTTCCAGTAAAATATGCGCCGTTTGAAAATATACGGGCATTTCAGCGCGTTGCTGTGTGTGCTTGAGAGATAGGGAGAGTGAGCAGTGAGCACAATACCACTGAATTTTAGATTGCAATGCAGAAAAATGAATATTTAACCATTTTTTGGACAGTTTTTACTTTGCACACATACACACTCTCTCTCTCTCTCTCTCTCTCTCTCTCACACATCCCCTGATCTCACACTGGCTCTGAATGCTCTATCTGCATTTGTTGGAAACACTTCTATGGAAAAAGTGCATAAGTGAATTTCGGTGCCGAACAAATGCGATAGCGAAAGAGTGAGTATTGAAAGTGGTCAAGCAATTTCAACGCGATTATTAGATGGACGTAAAAAGTGGGCTAAAACGAGATGCACACACTCAAATATACAGGCACTCACATACAGACCCATTCACACCCAATCTTTGTGCATCGTGTTCTACAGTACAAAATTTATAACATAAATGTTAGTTTCGTTCCTATATATGCTACGAATTGGCTATTTGGCGTCGGCTTTTATATTCATATTTTATGTACCCTTTTTGTACGTATATGTGCGAGTATGAGTTTGAGTATGTGTGTGTGTGTGTTTGTGAGACAGTTTGTGTGTATGTCTCTGTTGTTTGTGGTGCTTTTTATGCCTAGCACTTACAGTGAATATCCAAATTAATGGCATTTTCCGAAGTACCGACACCGTACTCATTCTGCAGCTCACATGTGTAGTTGCCCAAATCGGTCCGCAATACTTGTTGTATTTTTAATCCGATACTATTCACATTACCGCCATCCATTCGATGCTCATCCAAAACTAAAGGTGCACCATTCCGTTTCCTACAATGCATTTAGCGGTAAAAATTGTTTGCTGAGAAAATGAATTTTTTTTTCAATGGAATAAAAAATTAAAACAGCCCATTCCGCATATTCGGTGGCCATATTCACTGGCAACTGGATGATGTTCAACTTACCAAGTAACTCGTTTCAACGACGATGGATTTGAATCATAGCGACAATCTAAATAAACGTCCCCATTTTCGATTACTAACAAGTTTGCTGGCGATACGGTGACCACCGGTGGATCTGCCAACAAAAAAAAAAATATTCAAATTTTATGTCAACATTTACGTAGCCGTGTACATTTCAGCAAACAAAGAACTTTGAAACAGCGACAAAAAACGTGGAAACTTACACATAACAATAAGATAGAGGAAATTGCTCAACGGTTTTTCTAATTCATTTTGCATGACAATATTGTCTGCTTCGCACCGAAAACTCACACCGTTCTCGTAGCGTGTTGCCGTAAACGACAGTTGGCTGAATGTTGTGAATGTACTGTCACTAGCCTCTTCCTATATAACATACGAGAAGGAAAAAAAAAATGCCAACATCACAAAATTATATATATTTCGAATCAACAAACAAAAAATGGTGCAATCTGCAGTAATTCATTTGATGTAATTGCAAAAATCACGTGTAATTAATAAATTAGTAATTATCGATAACGAAAAAAAAAACTGTATCATTTGGCAGCAAAGATGAGGTGATTGAGTTTATTTAATCAGTTAATTTATAGTTTAAATGATACGCACGGATTTTTCATTGATGGTGATGCGGTCGTTGTGCTGCGAACCATCCAGTTGTAGCGGTGTTGTGTTGTTGTACCAAGTTATATTAGCGGCCGGTCGGGCACCAAACACCTGTTGAACATGAATTCAGTTAAAATGAGCATCGCATTCTTTTTTTTACACCGAAAAAAAATTACATTTAACCATTAACGGCTGAACCAAAATCTCTGCATGATGAAAATGCATTAGACGATAAAAAAATGACAAAAGGGGAGCAAAAAAACTCGCTGGTTCAACGATTGAATGCTTTGCTTTTAGTATGATTTAGTAGGCAAATTGCACATATAAATTATACACTACGAAGCATGTCAAAATTGAAATTTGTTGTTCAACTAAACATTTTTTTTGCCCTTTCTTCTCATTCTCTTCCTCTCTCTCTGACTCTGAGAGATAGAGAGCTCTCGGTTACGGCCGTCTCGCAATTTTTTTGTCTGGCACTCAGACATTCCGTTCATCTCTTCGTTCCTTTTTATCCTCGAAAAATATATTTGGCGACGAAAGCCCGTCTGTGCGCAAACCGAACCGCAGCACTAAACTTTTATGCACAACCAAAAATTAAATAAATGCAACTTTATTGTTTATCGTTGTCGTCGGCGCTCACATGCAGTGTGTGCGCTGCGCGCGCTCACAAAATCTATTCGTTGAACATTGAACAAGAGACTGGTTCCAAGTGCCTATGGTCAACATTCAATTTAGTGGTGTTTATCAGCCATCTCTGTCTATAGCATATTCCTCAAAAAGCTCACTAAAAGAAAACTTTTTCAACTTTTTTTCACTCCCTGTGTATGAATGTGTACGGTGTACTCAAATTTCGTCAGCATTGAAAGAGTGAGAGAGAGGCGAAAAAAGAGTCTTTTAATGGAAACAACTTGCGACGAAAATTTTTTTTTTTTCTGCTTTGCTCTCGTTCGTTAAATCTGTTGATAGTGATTTAAGTGGTGTACACAAATTCAGTTTAGATTTTTCGATTTTATTTCCTTCGTCAGCGTAGCGAATGGTAAACCTACTTTTGAGTTGGATCAATAGTATTTAGTGCTGGCAAAATTGAAATTGACTTCTCGGAAAATTGCGAATTTGTTATCGCTCGGAGGTTGTTGATACGGATTTTTTTTCTCTGTCAATTTCAATGTGTTGTTGATGGTTGCAACAAAGGTTGCAAAAAACTTGTGTACTCAAAAAAAAAAAAAATAAACAAACGAGATGCATTCGAAAAATCGATGGAATTTATCAATTAAATAGCAATGCTTGTTCATTACCGATGGTATGATGTGGCTTGCGATAATGGTGGTATCATTATCAGGAAGCATAGATGCTATAAATATAAAACATTCGATATCAAGTTTTGAATGAAAAAGTTGGATATTTTGTCATCGACAAACAAAACAGAAACACAGTAGCAGCATATTTGTTGTCATTGTAGCATTCGATGTGCCCATTTCAATTTTATGCGAACGCAAAACCCAAAATGGATACCACTTTAAAAATGCATAAAGTGTCTGTGGTATTTGTGACGAAAAATGCGCCGGTATGAAAATGTGCTAGAGCCATCAATTTGAACTTTGGAGGATGCTTTAATAGGAACGCATAGACAATGAGACACAGATAGCAAGATGCATCCAAACGGAGTAAAAAAGAGATAGATGGTTTGTATGCATCGGTGTTTCGCACGTACGGAACGCAATTATTTCGTCAAGTTCTTAAAGTACAAAAACTAAGTTTTAGTTTTCGTGTTCGAGCTGTTAGATTTTCGGTTAAAGTTGGCCGCCCGAGATATGGATCCTGCATTCGTTCGTACGATACGGTACGAACGTACGCAAATAGAGACAAGATGAAAATTGAAAATATTTAATTCAAAAGCACATTACCCGACACAGCAAAGATACGGTGCTTCCTTGAACTGTGTGTTGTCGTACGCCGCTCACTTCCACTTTTCTCGGTCGCACTGAAATGAAAATCGAATGGAGTCATAAGTTTCCCGTGTACATATAGCTCTCAATATGGTAAACGGCAAGATTTATACAAATAAAACAAATGAACACACACACACACACACACACACACAAAAACACCGTCAACTAACGGAACATTTTCCATCGTCGACGTAAATAATTAGAAATACGATCTCGCATTGGTTTACCTTGCAAATCAACTTTTAATTGATGTCGTACGGTCGTTTCGAGTGCTTCAGTATCGATGCGACACTCAAATGTGGCTGCCATTTCCTTTCGCGTTAATACCACCGATAGCATCGCTTTTTCGGTGAACAAACCATTTGCATCTGGACCTTCGCTTGTCGGTATCGATTCTGAAATGTGAGACGCAGTTGATCAACTTACTCGAGTAAAACAAACGAACAGAGAAGAAAAAAAACAAACGAATGCCAACAGTCAAAAAATTGAAAGTGGCGGAATAATTTCGCTCGTATTATTAGTTTAATTTTGTATGTTTGAGTGTATTTTTAATTAAATTCCGCATGGCGTGATTGAGGTCGATGCAATTACAATATCTGACACATCAAAAACTCGATCTGAACAGGCGAATGTCATCATCATGAAATTTCCATATATGTCGATCGCAATTAATTCTCTTCCTCGCTTTATTTTGTTTTTATCGTACTCTGGACAAAATGAACAATCGGCCTATACTTTTGTTTGTGTGGACAGGGCAGAGAGAGAGAGAGAGAGAGAGAGAGGGAGGGAGAGAGAGAGGGGAGCCAGCTGTCCAATAATGCGACATTTTTGTGCCAGCACTTTGAAGTATCGCACTTCAAGTAGGTAATGAATGTAATTCAATTGAACAGCAGCTATAAAAATAAACGTACCATTCAAACGTCAAGTGATAACACTAAAACTTTGAATGGAAATGTGCTTCGCGTGAACTATTGTGCATATGGTGTTGATTTTCCGACAATATGCGATTTGTCGCCGCCGTTGCCGCTTCACTTTCTACTCAACCCCCTCCACCATATTCAATCAAACTCGCACACACACACACATATACACAATTGGTGCTGATAATGGATTAAAGCTTATGTGGACATCAACTGGCTGAAAATTGCGTTTAAGTTTTAGGTGTGTGTGTGTGTGTGCACTGGCAGTGGAGCGGTTTGAAATCTGTGCGCGCTTATTCGACGATAGAGTCGAATGTCGATTGGGGGATGAGAACATGTATAGAAAATCGACCATTGTTACGTAAAATTGAATACGATCTGATATCGGCTAATCGCCACATCATTCATTTTACTTGCATTTTACCAATACTGAAATTCCTCCAAATCACTCTGTCAATGCTCATCCAACTAATCGAACTGGACATTGGAATGGAACGGAACGTGTTGGAGTGTGAGATGGAGAATGCGAAAAACGTGGAGATGACGTAAGTTGATTGACCCTACGGCTAACAGGGGCGTCAAACAATCGCAGCTAAACTACCTACAAATTGAATTGAGCTATCCCACTCGTCGACTTCATTCAATTGTATTGAACAAATTGCTGTGTTACATTGTCTCGAGAATTGTAGTACTTTTTCTCCCGTAAAATAGAAAGTATATTGGATTTAATCTAATGAAAAACTCCACATTGGAAATGGTACACATTGCGAATACATTTTTATGTTGTTGCAGTTCGAATTAAGGGGAAACTCACCCGGTAAGCGTTTATTATCAAGAAACCACCCTACATCTGGCTTGGGCCTCGAACCTCTCGCCTCGCACCTAATTTTTTTTAAAAATCAGATTAAAATCAGATTAGAATCAACAGAAAAAAATAAATTCTATTTTGACTTACCAAGCAACAAACCGTTGGCCCTCACTCAACGGCCCAATCACTGTATCGTTTCGCAGTATTTGTCCAGTCTCATCCCGCATTTGCATGATTGATGGAGCGACTATATAGTTTTTTGTTTTACGAAAGAGAGAGAGAGAGAGAGAGAGAGAGAGAGAGAGAGAGAGAGTAACAAAACAATGAAGTGCTTGTAACCTGCATATAAATATTTGGGCCGATTTGGGTGGCTGGCCAGAAGCAAAAATAAAACATTAAAATAGAAGAACCCATTACTAACCCAATACGTTCAGCTTAATTTTGTATGAACCTTTGCTTTCGCATGAATCCGATGGATCTAAATAAGTAACAACGCATGTGTACGTCTCTTCGTCGTGCACTTGCACCGACTTGATAAATAGCTTTGTGTGCGGACCATTTGGAGTGTGTTCAATTGTGATGCTAAAATTTGGCAGAATTTGCGGGAAACAAATTATACATACGCATGTATGTATATATAATGGAAAACAGTATTTAAGTGTTTGAATAACACATTCGGTTCTGTATATTGTATAATATATACTCACCGGCCACTATATGAGCCTTCGACATTTGGCGAACTACCATCACCGGGAACAAGCGCAACTCGATCATTGCCTCGAAACCATTTCAATGAATGCAAACTCCCACATGATTGAACATCTATCGGACACTCCAATGTAACTGTGTGGCCCCGTGACTTCGATATTGTTTTATCTGAAAATAAAGAGAAAATCACACGGAAAATTTAAATAAAATGATTGTTTGCAAATCGAATTCGTCGAATTATTACGAAATGACCGAAAAATTGGAATGTATTTGTTTTTTTTTTTTTTTTGTTCGTTGTTGCCTTGTTTCATTATTATCGCAAACGCAATCCATTTAAATCAAAATTTGATATATATATATATTTTTTATTCGAATGCTTTTAGTTTTATTTCGATATCTTTTTCCATTAAAATGGATGGGTTTTCGCGAATTTATTGCTCACATTCAAGCTAAAAATAAGTGGCCTCGCATATAATTAAATTGAGTTGCTTTTTGCTATCACGTTTTAAAAATATATTCCACTTTTGGCTAAAAAAATCGGGCTAATAAAGCCACTCAACAGAAAATCATTCCCGCGATGTGCAGGAAATTAAGTTATCGAGTCCCGTTGAAATCGTTCAACAGTGAAATAAACGACATTAGCTCTTAGGACACGTTCCATCGCTTAGCGCTCACCAAGAAAATAAAGTTCAGTTCGCCAACTCAAAATGTATTGCATGAGAACGAATACTAGTTCATCAGTTTCTTTCGTTTTTTTTCCTGAAAATTTCTATGCGCTCTCTCTCTCTCTCTCTCTCTCTCTGTCGCTCGTGTTCAGTGCCATGATTTAAGGGTTAAAGTACGCTTATAAGCCATAATTGTCTTTTATCGCTCTTCGTTCTTTCATTTTATTTTCGACTTCATTTCTTGATTTACGTCTAACATATTTTCCATATTTTTAGTTTATCGCTTTCTTTTGCACACCGTGCCGCAGTTATTGTTCACTTCTTCTTCGTTTTTTTCTCTCTCTCTATTCGCTCTCTTTGTTCCCATCATCATCAGCGTTATTATCTCGACAGTCATATATTTCCATGGAAAGCGGAAATTGAAAAATACCGAACCGATTGTGTTTTTGTATTGAATGAGATTCGCTGAACTCTTCTTCCTCATTCCACGATTTCACTCCATTCACAATCGAATGGAAAGACAAGAGAGCAAGAAATAAAAATCTGCTTACTTATGTGTTTTTATCTTGGAATTAAGACAAACGCTTGTAAGTGAGTGCATTAAATGTGTGCCAATTGAAAAAAAAAAGAGAATCGACAAAGTAAAAATAAACGAATCCAGTATCGAAAACGACTTGCGACTTGGCTGTAATGGGAGTGCTGAGATCGAATAATTAAACAACAAAGACGAAAGTTTATACAATAAATTTTCTGTATTTGCACAGTGAAAAATAGAAAAAGAAGAAGAGATTGCAATTTCAATTCACATAAAATAAATTCCGATTCAACAAAAAAAGGGCTGGCAAATCGATGATTTTCTTTCTCAGCAAATTCACAGCAAAAATCGAAATGTGTGCCATTTGACAGATAGTTTGCAAACAATGAACACATCGCCATACACTCACGACGATTTTTCTCTTTCAGTTTACTCTTCGTTCGAGCAACTTAAGATATTGGCATAAAGTAAGCCACATTTTATATCCACATTGTATGATAATTTTGTGTGAGAGCAAGCGAACGGGCGGCGCGGGCGGTTACGCGCGCAAGCATGCTTCTGATGGTTCATAATGAGGTCTCGAAAATAAAATCTCTCACACATAATTAACGTTGTGCTCCTAACACGCACCTAAGCAAATGAGTCACACCTGTATAATTGTACAGGTACATTCGCATTACTCTACGGGGAAGTGCTTGAATACAGATTCTTTTTTCATTTCGTTTCATTTTCGGGGGGCTAGTTAAAATTACATGAAATAATGCAAATTGATAGCATGTGTATCTTCATCATTTTCGTGGGTCGTTCACTATCAGATGCACTGAAAACCCTATGACTTAAATAGGTTAACCATCGAAGCAAGTACCGTTTCAAATGCGATCCGATTATTTGCTGTTGCAATGAAGCACACACATATTTGCATTATTTCGCTTGCCATATGCTAATTTGTAGCACTGTTTGTGTGTGTGTGTGTTCTCCTTGAACTATTCGCTCTCGCACAGAGTTAGGGTCAATTGGATGAATTGGTGCCAAACGGTATGTGTTTAACTTTTACTAGAGCTTTTAAGAGCAAAAACACTTGATTCGGTTCTTTATTTAATTCGATATTATTCAATCAAAATGTGTCAATCTTAACCAATGTTTCAACTCAATACGTTCTCTAATAAATTCTTACTCTTGCCGCCACACTCTCAACCCGTGTGTTTCAATCGAAATGTTGGATATTCGAGCCCGAATCACATTGACGACACACTCACACATACAAGCCAAACATTGTGTGATCGAATTTCACAAGCAGAAAAAAAAAATACAGAAGACCGATTCATTTGAAATGCCATAAATGCACTCAAGTGCTACTACTGCTGCTACTACATCTCCTGATGCACTCGAGTTTATTTTTACTTTCTGTTTTCGAGTGCCGATGCAAACAGACGAGTACATGATTTCAATTATGTCACCCGAGTATCGAATGCACTTTAGGCATCAGCGATTTCAAAGTATTGCGTGTCCAATGGAATGTCATAAGCAACAAATGTGATTTCTCTCTCAACAAGTGGACAAAGTCGAAAGAAAACGAGTGATTTTTTTTTCTCTCAATGGCGAAATCTCTTATGAATTGACACATAAAGAAGATGAAACCAACAAGCGAACACACGCAAACATTAAAATATTCCACGAAGCGTGCTAATAAGCGGGATCACCTTCGATTCATTCTCAGTTCTTTCTAGAAATAAAAAAAAGCAACAAAAAATATTTGAAATTAGTCGAACCGAATCACGCAGATGTATCATTGAACATTGTAATTTATATCCGAAAGCGACTGAGATGGATGTTTTGATGAGTGATGACAGCGTGTCGCGTATTCTCTCACTGATTATATAATCGTCGTCGAGTCCGGCTCTCTGGTGGAGACAGTGTGTGTGTGTGTGTGTGTGTGTGAGAGAGAGAGAGAGAGAGAGAGAGTGAGTGACCAGAGAAAGAAAACTGCTATTCAAACAGAGAAGAAAAAAAAATGAAAAGCAGCCGTCGAGCGCGGGCATGTGAAACGATAACAAGAGAAAATGGTCGTTTCATTTCTATGCATTTGTAAATCTCTCCCATTTTTCCTGTGCATTACCACGCTATTTTCTATATTGCATTTAATATTATACTTTGTAGTTAGACGCTACGCAAACTAATAGACATTAGTCACCAAATATGAATACTTATAAGCGAGCTGCATCGGTGCAGACATTCGAACGCGATGCAATGAGACAAAAAACAACAAAAACAACGACAACAGCAGAGAAAAAAAACAGCACATTGTTTCGAAAACACAACAAATTGACCAGAATTCTTGAGCCAGTCAGCGAACGAAGAGTTGTTGCATTTCCATTCTTCTCTTTCTCTCGGTTGCGATGACGGTGGCGGCGTTTTTTTCTCTCTTCTCTTGAAATGCATTAAATATACACGGAGTGAATATTCACGGATCATGAGCACATGGGAAAAATGTGCTTGGCTATAATCTCCGAGACTGTTGTATGCACTGCACGCGCATCGATTGTTCAATGCTTACATTTCGCCATTAGCCGTTTGCTTTTTGGCTAAAATAACTATTGCACTACTATGCTGATATTGTTTTCTGCTGCTGCTGCTGCTATTGTTGTTGTTGCTTTTGCTTTTGCTCTGGCCTCTGTTTGTCTCTTACATTTTATTCACAAAATTGTGCACGCGATATATATATTTATGTTTATGGTAGTTTTTAAGTCGATGCCTTCGTCTATTGTTATCGCAAATGTTCGCCTGACTCTCCTATGGTTTCTATGCATGCAATTCAGTTCGCTGTGTGCTGTTGTTATTGTTGGTGCTTTGAAGAAATGACCCTTAACTCCGATTTGTTCATGTAAACGCACAATATTTCATACACTTGCTAAGGTGCTGCTGCCAATGCATGAACAACATTACCACGTACACAACAACTGCGAAAATAAAAACTAAACCTGGCGAGAAATACACCATCCAAATTTATAGACACTTATGAAAAAAATGAATCATTTGAATTCATGTTACGACTTTTTGTGGGCTGATTCTCTTTATTCAGTCCATTTTCTTGTTGTAGTTTTTTTCTTTGAAAACAGGGTGAATTAAAAAAAAAAAGAAAACGTGAATTTCGGTTCAGTCGAAAAAAGCAAGCGAAGGAATGAAAAAAAAAGCAAACATTCGTCCTCATATGAATGTTATTTAATAGTTTTTTCTTTCCTTTTCATTTTTGCCTATGATTCCGTCAAAGAGCATAACTCATAAATATTGTTGCGCCGGTTCACAGATAATCTTTCATTCGGTCGAAATGGTTTGCGCGCACGGTGTGTGTTTCACTTGTATGCATTCCATCCATCAACAAACGATCGAGCGAGAGAAAAAGGGAACAAGAACGAAAGACGAAAAATAAAATAGAAGGAATATAAAAATCGAAAACAAACCGAATGTAATGCTCTCTTGGGTTTATATAAATTGGTTTCCTTTGGGAACTCACTGGATTACTTTATCTGATGTGTTTGTGTTTATGCATTTTAAATGCAAAAATGAGCTCTCAACCGTAAACGGACAGTAACTACCCATCGTATGTGTGCCGGTATGACCATGCCGACAAGTGAGGGACCGATGAGCGCGAGAGAGTGAACGAAACACAGATCGATAGAATGAACACACATTTAAAGTGGTTTTGACTATGGCTGAAGACTAAGATAGCAAGAATAATTACTTGGAAAAAGTTGAAAAAGAAACAAACAGAGAGTTGTTGCTTTTTCGGGTTCAAATAGACCTGAAACAAGCTCATCCAAAGAACCTTGTGAAGAGAGAGCAAAGCAACTTTTCGGCCAAACAGGTTTATAGAGTGAACGAGAAAGAGAGAGAGAGCAAACACAGAGACATAGAGGTAGGTAAATAAGAACATTGAAAAATATTCCAAATGAACATTTAGTTTGGACACC